TTCTCGAGCTTGAGGTCGCGGTGTGCCACCGGCGGGCTCTGCGCGTGCAGGTGGGCCACTCCCTTGCACACCTGCAAGAAGGCGTCCAGCGTCTCCGGCAACGGCAGCGGAGGCGGCAACGCGCCCGAGGCGTCCGGCATGCAGTGCTTGATGAGCGTGCCCTGCGAGCAGTACTCAAGGAGGAGCAGGTGCTCCTGGCCGCGCACGCCCGCCCGCTGCGTCGAGGCGAGCATGCCCACGATGTTCGGGTGCCGCGGCAGTGACTCCATCAGGTCTCGCTCCGCCTTGGCCAGCTCTGCGGACTCGGCGTCCTGCGCGAGCATCCGCTTGACCGCAAAGAGCTCGCCCGTCTCGGCGTGCCGTGCCATGTGCACGTACGCGAAGCCGCCCTCCGCGAGCGCCACCTCCTTCATGAGAACCGGGTACCCTCGGAAGGGCACGAGCTCCGTCCGCGCCGTCGCCGAGCGAAGCGCCCCGGCGCCCTCCTCGGCGAGCTGCCGCGCCTCCGCGAGCTTGGACTCGGCAATCTTCTTGGCGTCCTCCGCGAGAGCGCGGCCCTTGTCGAGTATGGAGGAGAGCTTCATACAGCGCGCGGCGCGAGTATCTTGCACACAGCGAAGTAAAGCGCGGCGCCGCTGTGGCTGGGGAAAAAATTGTGCACGAACAGGAAACCTAGGTCGGGACAGTCGTCGCGGAACCATCGGAAGGCGAACAGGAGGGAGGACCGAGGGGAGGGAGGCCCCCCCTCGGAGTGGGGGTGAGGAGACCGTGCGCGGAGCGGGGGGTTCCGAGCGGTGATGTCAGTGAGGAATGTGTGTGTTGTCGTGCTAGTGTCTGGTGTCTACTAGCCCCGAGTAGAGGGGGCGTTCCGCTGCTAGGGGAAACCCGGAGCGCAGAGCTAACCCTCGGGGACCCGTGTTTACTTTAAGGCCCTTTCCCTGCGAACGCGCACCCCCAGGGCTAGGGCTTTCTTGTGCCCGCAACCCGATGCCAATCATCCGGCCCGCTGGGTGCGCTTCTTAGCTCCCCGGCCCTGGATGTGCGGTTACTGACTGCACTCCAAGTGCTCCAAAAGCCAAGCCCGTCTCACAGCACGCTCTGGCACGACAAGGGCGCGGACTCAGGAAGAAGCGAAAAGCCCGTGTCGGGTGTCTACAAGCTCTGAGCAGAGGGGGCGTTCTGCAGTTAAGGGGAAACCCGGTTCATTGACTCGATGCCCCCCCGCAATCTTACACCCCCAAAACAAACAAAACGAGTGTTAGAGATAGAGTTGTTTGGTATTGCTAAAAATCTCTCTCCCCCAAAACAAATCTCTCTCTCACACACCCCCACGTGCCACGACTCGGAACGCGAAAGAGAAAAGAAATCGGGTCCTTCGGCCACCAAAGCGAGATCACCCGAGAGCAGCTGAGTCTGCCTCTGGCCTCGCCTCCCTCTCCTTCAGGCATTCGTGCATCGTGGCATCCTATGGGTCGTCCAGAGTATCGACCTCTGGCGAGTCAGCCAGCCCCACTTTGAGGGCGCCATGAAGTACAGCGATCGCCACCTCGCTGGCCTCTCCGCAAGGCCTCCCGACCGCGTCGAACTCAACGGCGCGGGCTCTCTCGGCTACGGGACCGGCCCCAGCTTCGGCTGAGGGCTGACAAGCTGCCGAGCCCAAATCACTGTGAGAGGGGTGATTTCTTTTGTTGGGTTTCGAAAATCTCGTCGGAACCAACCCTCGGAGACCCGTGTTTACTTATGGCCCCTTCCCTGCGAACGCGCATCTCCAGGGCTGTGGGCTGATTTTCCCCTCGCGCTTTGGGATTGTTTTGTTTGTCGCTTTGGGTCCCCCTAGCAGCAGACCGCGCCCCCTCTACTCGGAGCTAAAGAATTCAAGCCGTTTCCCCCTCTCCATTCCCTTCTTCTCTGTGTGGTGGCCGCGTGCCGTCCTCCCATCCCCGCCTTGGGAAAGTTTCTTTTCTTTCTTTGTGGCACCCCCCCCTCTGTTGGCGCTTTCTTAAGCGCCTGAGCTCCTCCCGAGGCTGAGCTCCTCCCTGCATCTCTGCAGAATGTCCCTTGTAATAAATAAATAGAGCAGTCATCTCCAGGAGAGATGGGCGACGCACGAACACAGAGGCACAGTGCGCGCCCCGCCCCGCTCACAGGGCGTGCGTCACACAGGCGTGGACTGTGACTCCTCGGGTTTCTGGGACAGAGGTGTGCTAGTCGCTACAGTCGGACGGCTCCGGCACGTCTGATAGGCAGTTCGGGCTCGACTGAGGGAGGGTGTAGAGGATGTAGAGTGTAGAGCGCTGTAGAGCTGTAGAGATGTAGAGCGCTGGAGAGCGCTGTAGAGCTGTAGAGCTCTACATCCGCCGCGTGACGATGTGAGTCGCCTGTAGAGCGATGTAGAGGCGCTCTACAACGTGAAATCTCTACAACAAACTCTAACATCATAAGCGGCGAACGAGGCTCGGTCGCTCTCCGACATGAGGCGCGTTGCACTTGCCAGTGCTGCCCTGAATTCTGTCTGCCCGCCTAATGGGTGGGAGGTTGTGGTGGTCTCAGGCCCAGTGAGGTAGTGCATCTGACTATCCCGGATCCTGCTGAACAAGCTCCTCTTGTAGCTCGATCGGTCACACCGCCATCACCGTCGAGGAGAGGGGGGACGACACTGCTTCTGCAGCGTGCACCTCGATCCTGCACCGTGTTTGTTATGACCCCCCCCCAATGAAAGGGAAGTGGGACTGCTGTGTCAGGGTTTCCGCTTTCTCTTCCAGTGCGCGCCAGTCCGGTGGTTGTGCGAGGGAGTTTTATTGTAAAAATTCTCTTCTCTCCCCTGCCAGCCCGCAAGCATGCTGCCGCCCAACAGGTGTTACGGTTTCAACGCGACAAAAAGGCAACTCGTCTTCAAGCGGCGAGGCCGCGCGCTGCCGCGCCGGTCCGTCCACCGGCTGGCACGCAGCCCGTTCCAGGCCTCGCTGACGCCCGACGACACCAGCTCTCCCGCCTGTGCGGCGCCCGCGGAGACCGGCGTGCGTGGCAAGAAAATTCTGCAGGACCGCGTGCGGAAGCACGCGGAGCTCGACCGCGTGTGGTCCTTCCTCGTCGCGCGGCACGACGGCCTGGAAAGAGTCGAGGCGAAAATACTTCGCGAGGTGCAGCAGCGCGCTCTGCAGCTCTTGCAGGGCGTGCAGCGAGAGATGGCGCAGCGGGTCGTGGCCGCCGCCGCCGCGCGCGCGGACGACGGGTGGCGCGGCGACGGGTGGCGTGGCAACGGCAACGGCGCGGGAGCGGTCGGACATCGTTGAGCCTAATGGCGTCGAGAGAGTTGTTGTGACATCGTATTTAGATTTTAGGCGTGGTGCTGTGAGACACACGCACACACGTTTTAATCGCATCAAGAACACATGTGAACCATGCACGTGTGGCGCGCGAGCTCTCGAGGGAACGGACTGCGGTCTGCCTCTCGTCAGTATCCCGCCTCCCAGTCAAAGGTCGCTCCGCCTTCGCGCAGGGCCTCGACGCCGCCGCGCTCAAACCGCTCTAAATTGTCTGCGAAGGCGGCGGCGACGTCCTCCGGCTGAGTCACCGCCGAGTTGTGGCTTGTGACGGTAGCCTTTGGGTGAGCCCAGAGGGGCGACTCTTCGCGCAGCGGCTCCGGAGCGAAGACATCGCTCACAAAGTGGCCCAGCCAGCCTCGCTCGAGTGCCTCGAGGGCGGTGCTCTCTCCAATCACGTCGCCGCGCCCCACGTTGATGAGCACGGGCGGCTTCGTGGGCGAGTGCGCGCCGTCGCGGCGCGAGGCGGCGGCGGCGGAGAGGACGCTGCCGTCAATCAGCCCGCGCGTCGCCGGCGTCGAAGGAAGCACCGACACGATGTAGTCTGCGCTCGCGAAGAGCTCCGCCAGCCCGTCCATGCCGAGGACACGGCTCACGCCGGCGCTCGCGTCCGTGTCGCGAGGCGTCGGGTCGCGCCGGCACCCGATCACCTTCATCCGGAGCCCGTGGTGCGCGACGCGAGCAATCTCGGAGCCGATGTCTCCGAGGCCGAGTACGCCGAGTGTGAGCGACGAGAGGCGACGGTACGTGAAGCCGGCCGAGGCGCGCGAGGCTGCCCACTCGGCGCGGCTCTGCATCCGGCGCTGCTCCTCATACTGCCGCTCGAGCGCGAGGATGTGCAGCGTGCAGTACTCGCCCATGTCCGGCCCAAAGCAGCCGGCGAGCCGAGTGACCGTATAGTCGCGCCGCGGCACGTCGAGCAGCTGGTTGCAGCCCGCAAAGGTCGACTGCAGCCACGCGAGGCGCGGCGCGCTCGCAACCAGCGGCGCGAGCAGCGCCGGCTCGCCCACCAGTACGTCGCATGACTGCAGCTGCAGGGCCGGGTCCTCACCGGTCTCGGTCCAGCGGATCCACGGCCCGGCGAGGCCACGCGCCTCAAAGGCGGCGCGGAGACCCGCGATCTGTGACACAACGAGGACGGCGGGGCGGGGCATATACGCGTGTGCGTTACCCGCACGAGTGGACGACCGGAGGCGAGGCCTTTTTATTATTTTCAGGGGCCACCAGCGTTCGTAATCTCTGTCCCGCGCCCACCCATACCGCGTTGGTGTCCAGTCCGAGCCTGACTGTTCTTCACCTTCCTACCTAACCTAACCACACTGTTCCCGGGCATAGTCTGCTATGTTATAATACCGCCATCTCGCGCGGAGATTATTTATTATGTTGTTGAGATTATTAGGGATTTCATTCCTTTTGGTTTTGGAGAAGATTTTCCGTATCTTGTTTTGGTTCGTAATAACTCTCCCGACAGCATCTTGTGGACTCATGCGGTCGCTAGCTTTCCGCGCCTACCACCTCCCGTGGCTCGCTCAAGCGACCCATGGCGACAACCACACCTATGCGACCCGCGCGCGCTGCGTGGCCGAAGAATCGGAAAGTATAAACATTTATTTTGTCCCCAAGGGCGCCGCACACTCTACGCGCGCGCCTCAAAACCCCTCCGCCCTTGCAAAGGTCCGCCAGTGCGTCTCGCACGTCGCCGTCGCAGGGACAGGCCAATTGCTGCAGCAGCCCTTGCAGGGGTAGAAGGCCGGGTTCCGGCTGGCGGCCGCGTTTCGGCTGAGCGTCGCGAACACGTTGGACCTGGACGCGTCGTACTCGATCTTGAGGTCGACGAGGTCGCCCAAGAAGGACCGCCGCGCGCCGCGCGTCAGGGCGATGCGGTCGACGGCGTTGATGTAGAGCTCCGCGGTGTTGGACGCGATGTCGAGCCGCCACCCCGCGGCCGAGTTGTCAGAGTTGCACTCGGCGAGGCCGTCCACCTCGAAACAGTTCATCGCCCACGGATCCGGCGGCTCCCCGGCGGCGCGGTAGACCCGCCCCGTCTCGGGCGCGGTGTAGTCGGGCAGCGGCTCCGTCGGCCGAGTCGGCGTCACCCAGTACATACCGTCGAGCTGTAGGGGCAGCGTCAGCGAACCCCACTGCGTGATACTTGACGCAGGCACGGCGATCGCGCTCCCAGGCAGGAAGGACACGCCTCCCGCATCGTAGCGGCAGCTGTCGCACCCGGGCACGTCCTCGCTCGTGAATAGGTGCAGCGCCGCCGCGGCGGCGCCGCACACGCCAGCCTCCACCTCGTTGATGATCCAGACGCACGGCGCGTCGCTCGTGCCCGCCCCGTTGCAGTAGTCCTGCGCGTTTGCCGGAGCGCTGGCACGCGGCGCGCCCACCCACTCGACAAGCTGCGTCGCGTCGATCTCGTACCGCACGTCGCCCGAGTCATCGGGCGCAAACATCAAGCCGAACCTCGTCGCACGTGGGTCGTCCGAGTTGCCCTCCGCAGGAGGTGAGGGCGAGGGCGCCGTCTCCGCAGGGGGTGAGGGCGAGGGCGAGGCCAGCGGCGCCGGCGACGCGCAGAGCGAGCGAAAGCGGTCAACCACCCGGCTCGCGCTCTCTTCGGACGTCGTCGCCGACGCCTGCACTTCGTTCTCGTACGCGACGCCGCCGAAGCCGTGCTCAGCAAAGTAGTACGCCTCCTCGATGCAAACGGACGACACCTGTGTAGGCGGATCGAAGATGGTGTCCATGGCCGTGAGCCACTGCTCCACGCCGCCTCGCACGTCGAGCTGCGCGCCGAACTCCGTGAGCAGCACAGGCCGGCCGAGTGCCCACGCTTCCG